GTCCCCGAAGCACTGCTATCAGCTGTAATCTGTAGGTGGTGCATAGCGATGAAAACTTTCGTGTCTACCACTGGGAGTGGTGAGTAGATGTATTCTCTGTTTGGATGACGGAATGGGCTTTGGTGCGGTGTGGCCTCTGTTCTGACGAAAGCAGATACAACTATGCTCGCCGATGTAGGCCATGGGTATTGCAGAGTACCTTCAGGCTATCCCAAATGATCTTTTAATTTTTTTACAGATGAGCAGTTAGTTTTTTTCCATCTGTGGTTTGTGTCATTGCCAGCTGCACAACTCAACCGAGGTGAGCCCAACACCGTCTACGTCGATCTGGCGGGACAGAGAGGCCAGTTTTTTTCCATCTGTGGTTTGTGTCATTGCCAGCTGCACAACTCAACCGAGGTGAGCCCAACACCGTCTACGTCGATCGACTTGGCGGGACAGCACTCATCGGAGGGGTCAGCAGTCGTGATGATGGGTATTTGGTTCCCCTTGGTACCTGCTAAGTGGTCGATCTTCGCCCGTTGACTTATCAGGAAGTCCACACCTAGTATGACATCCCAGGATAAGCTATCAACGACAAGCATGGGCTGGTGAATCTTAGATTGATGTGGAGTTAGCGGAACCGTTAATCAGCCCTTAGGACGGTTGCACAATTAGCAGCCATGGGTTTCAAAGGGCAGTGTCTGAAAGAACCCACACCTAAGGGTAAACTTGCTACTGATCAGGCAACAGGCGACAACGGTATCAATCAGTATTCTACAACCCTTATTCCAGAAGTGCCGTCTAGTGTGGGAGGTGTCCGGTGCGTACTCGAACGGTCAAAAGTGCGAATTGGAAGACACCGGAGTTGGGTGAACTCACGCGGTCCATTGAGCCCACAGGTCCGGGCGTGAGTCCCGAAGCGCTGGCAGTAGGGGCGGTCACGGCTCGAGATGAGCCATCTCAAAAGTTTGGTTGGGACTAAACGCTGAAAACCAGGGCGGAAATACGGTCGGTTGGGGCGCAATGGCACGGGGTGGTTTGATCGTCTCCGGGTTGTTGTTGAATGTGGACGGGGGCGAGGTGTACCGTGTTCGGCTCTCGATCCCTCTCTAGGACGCCCAAGATGTCCTACACCTAGTACGCTACTTGTGAAAGGAGGAAAGCCTTCGCTGCGGAATTATTTATTCGGAAATGCCAACTGACCGGTTACAGACCATTGAACAAGGAAGCAAAACTCTAATCTGCACCTTAGTTACAAAACCTGGGCACAGATCTTCTCCCGAACGAGTCTTCCTGGCGATTCATTGCCTCCAATCATTCGTCGGTCAATTAAAAGCAAATGTTACAAAGTGGCCCCGCGAATTCCGCAACAGAATTCCATTTTTCAATCGACGCAAAGCGAAATTCTACGAACAACACATACTACTCGCGTGCCTCCCAATCAGTAGTATCACCGTTACACTTGTAGTGCCACTTCAACCGAGTGAGGAGGACTACCCAAAAACCGCTCGCGGAGTTTAGGCGCTCGGTTACCGACGATGATCTGTTCAAGGATCTTTTCTGCATGCTATCCGTCGTGTAAATCAGGGAACGCGCCATCACTTATCCACCGCAGTGCTCGGACAAAAATTGACAGTTTTTCGCCTGGCATTTGGATCCGTGACTGGAACAGATAGTAATGTTTGACTTGGTGAATCCGCCCAATCAGGCATGCACTAAGTCGTTCAAAGATATCTTCTGTGACCCCGTCCTTCGGGATATCTTTATCTCTCACTACGTCCCGAGCTTCTCCATCCAATAATGAAAGCAGCTCACACCTTTCACTAAAGGGAAACAGCTGAGTGTATTCTGATGTGCCCGCCGCCCATCGGCGAAAGTTTTCACCAACGCAGAACTTATCGGGCTGGGATAGCTGGAGTAGATCTGGTGTGGATGAATCCAGCACTAATAACCGAGGACAGAAGTGAAAAAATGATTGCAACGTTCTGTAGCACAAGGACCAAAATGAACCGCAAAATGCGACAGGTTCTGCAGTTTTTCCGTGGGATCGGGTACGTTTCATTGGCACAAATCCTGGCGTGGTGGCCAAATATGTAATGTGCACACTATGGAAGCACCAGGGGACAGTGATTATCCGAAGGCAGGTGTTCACGACAAGTTCTGTGGATGGAAGACAGAAGCAAAACTCATGAGCCAAAGCCCAGTAAGCAAGGTTGTATATCACCAATACTTACGTATAACTCAAACTGACAGACACCGCATACTAGGCATAATGCACTTTTAGCATATATAAGCCCAAGCTGCAGAGAGCAAAATGAGGATGACATATTACACTTGGAAGCAGTGTGTAATGAAGAAGGTTTGCACCGCAATAACGAAACCTAATTTGAGCTTGGGTAAACGCAGCGCTCCAGGTAAAAGTGTTCTGGATAGTCCGCTTGGACCCAACATGTCTTTGCACCCACTAGATACGGCGCAGGCCAACTACCATCCCTCCTGCATTTGGTCATCACCAACGAAAGACACTTCGTTGATCAGGTAACCATTAACGCTCCACTGGGACATAGCGACCACTGTGTGCTAACCTTTGATTTCATCTGCTATTGGGCCAGAAATCCCGATATTCAAACGTGGTTTCGAGAATTCTGCCGTGCAGACTTCTCAGGAATGCGCATCTTC